CTACAATTGCCCTATAGTTCCACTTCAGTTGGCCTTGTCACCCACAATTGCCCTGCTAGTGTTCCGCTTCAGTTGTGTCACCTGACATTTACCCTGTCAGTTGCCGTGAATCTGACAGTTACCGCCAGTTCCATTACAAGTTGGCATGTCACTCAGTTGCCATGCCGTCCACAGTTGCCCTATGCAGTTGCCGCATCTGATAAGTTACCCATATAGTTCCATTACAGTTGGCATGTCACCTACAGTTGCCCTCTTTAGTTCATGCCATGCCACCTACAGTTGCCCTATGCAGTTGCCGTGTATCTGACAGTTACCCTTATAGTTCCATTACAGTTGGCATGTTACCTACAATTGCCCTTTAGTTTCACTACAGTTGACATGTCACCTACAGTTGCCCTACAGTTGCCGTGTATCTGACAGTTACCCTTATAGTTCCATTACAGTTGGCATGTCACCTACAGTTGCCATATAGTTCCCCTACAGTTGGCATGTCGCTTACATGTTGCCTTCCTATGCAGTTGTCGTGTATCCTATACCCTTATAGTTCCATTACAGTTGGCATGTCACCTACAGTTGCCCTATAGTTCCCCTACAGTTGGCATGTCACCTACAGTTGCCCTATGCAGTTGTCGTGTATCTGACAGTTACCCTTATAGTTCCATTACAGTTGGCATGTCACCTACAGTTGCCATATAGTTCCCCTACAGTTGGCATGCCACCTACAATTGCCCTATAGTTCCACTTCAGTTGGCCTGTCACCTACAGTTGCCCTATAGTTCCCCTACAGTTGGCATGTTACCTACAGTTGGCTTCCTACCCCTCCCCCCACTTTTTTTATTATATGGTGTCTGGTTCCACCCACTATTCCAATACAGACACCAACTGCATATGTCCATAACATGTCGCATACAGCAAGCATGCATATATTACGTTACAGTGGACGCGTTCCCCACAGTCCACCTACATTAACATTCATAAGCCATGTCCAAACAGTTCTCAACATGTTATCACTGAAAACATTGCCGTAATTTAAACATCATAACAAGGCAAGTTCTTCCTGCTCATATGGCGCCCAATGATATTGGAGAACTTCGGCAACAGGAACGCCTCGGTAGAAAATATCTGAATATTCCACCAAAATTTCGAGAATAAATTCCATCTGCCACTTTAAACTGAAACATATTCTTGTGGGCAGTTTACAATAATATAAAATGTGCACAGCTTTCCTAAAGCATGTCGCTCCTGCTTTTAATCCTATCACAACAATGCTGTTTTGGATGAAACACGATATGGTACACGCAAGCCGCTGTTTGAAGTTGTCCCAGCAATTTCCTCCACGAGCATTAAACCTTCATGACAAAACAATTAAAGTATTTGTGTTTATTATTACAGATGTTTTAACAGTCGGGAGTAATACAATAATCGCCACCAGCAAAACGCCCAAGACAGGCTTCTCTAAATTCAAACTACTTAAAGTGAGTGAGTGAGTGAGTATGGTTTTACGCCGCTTTTTAGCAATATTCCAGCAATATCACAGCAGGGGACACCAGAAATGGGCTTCACACATTGTACCCATGTGGGGAATCGAACCCGGGTCTTCGGCGTGACGAGCGAACGCTTTAACCACTAGGCTACCCAACCGCCCCAAAACTACTTAATATTAAAGGCAATCAAGCCAATTTCTCAGAAGAAGCCAATTGTGTTTGCAATAATCTTTTACTGTCTGTATAACAAAATGCAGGTTTGTGTGCAGCACTGCACTTACCAATATTCCATATTTCATTAATTTATGACTGACTGAGTGAGTATGGTTTTACGCCGCTTTTAGCAATATTCCAGCAATATCATAGCGGGGGACACCAGTAATGGGCTTCACACATTGTACCCATGTGGGGAATCGAACCCGTGTCTTCGGCGTGACGAGCGAACGCTTTAACCACTAGGCTTCCCCACCGGCCCTATGATTGAGAGGTAGGCCAGTTGTTGAAGTGTTTGCTTGTAACACAAGTATGTTTGATTCCCGGCTGACAGAGCTGCGTCTTCTTGGTGTCCCCATCAGGATTATAGGGGCGAAACAAGTCCTGAATATATGCCCATATTCCTTGTGCGTATACATAACAAATAGAAAAACAACAAAGTAACCATATTGAAATACTCTTCTTTATAGGGGGCGGTGGGGTAGCCTAGTGGTGTAAGCGTTCGCCCGTCATGCCGATTCCCAATATGGGTACAATGATTGAAGCTTATTTCTGGTGTCCCCGGTCGTGATTTTTTGCTAAAAGCGGCGTAAAACCAAACGCATTCACTGTAAATAATCCAGTCTGGACCAGACAACCCTTCGATTCAGATTATAATCATCGATCTCCGCAATTGTGATACGTGAAGGTCCGGGTTAGAATGAACCTTCAGTAACCCATGCTTGTCGTAAGAGGCGACTAACGGGATCGGGTGGTCAGGCTCGCTGGCTTGGTTGACACATGTCATCGGTTCCCAATTTCGCAGGTCGATACTTATGCTGTTGATCACTGGATTGTCTGGTCCAGACTCGATTATTTACAGACCGCCGCAATATAGCTTGAATATTGCTGAGTGCGGCGAAAAGCTAAACTCACTCACTCACAAGAAATGGGCTTTACACATTGTACCCTTGTAGGAATCCAAATCCGGGCATGCCGCGTGACGAGCAAACTGACTGACTGACTGAGTTTGGTTTTACGCCCCTTTTAGCAATATTCCAGCAACATCACGGCGGGGGACACCAGGAATAGGCTTCACACATTGTGCCCATGTGGGGATTCGAACCCGGGTCTTCGGTGTGACGAGCCAACGCTTTAACCACTAGGCTACCCCACCGCCCGACGAGCAAACGCTTGAGCCACTGGGCTACCCCACCTCTCTCTCTTACAAAGCAAACCCGTGAAGATCCGGGTTAGAATTGATCTTCAGTAACCCATGCTTGTCGTAAGAGGCGACTAACGGGATCGGGTGGTCAGACTAGCTGACTTGGTTGACACATGTCATCATATCCCAATTGCGTGGATCGATGTTCATGATGATGATCACTGGATTGTCTGGTCCAGACGCGATTATTTACATACCGGCGTCTGATAGCTGGGATATTGGTATGTGCGGCGTAAAACTAAACTCACTCACTCACTCTTACAAAGCAAAATCGGCCAAGTCAGTTATATAGTCATGTTGCACATATGTTCTGAATCCGTGTTTTGACTAAAAGCCGTTTTAGTAGCCGAGTAATAAGTGTCAGTTATCTATCTCTACTAGGTTTACAAGACATCGCAACCTGGCACCTGGACACACACTCGGCCTTTAAACGATTAGCGAAAAGGAAAAATGGTAAGCCTTCCACCAATGAGACAGACCGTGGTATCTCCGTTATCTTATTGTAGCATATATTTGGCCAACATCTGACACCTTACATCCGCGTTGTTATAAAGAAAACGGATATATCTGTCTCTCTATCTGACACATTTCATAGTCTCGGTCTTTTAACACTCCACATTCGCATAAAAATGTTGAGTATAGCTGGGATATGCGCATGATGACGTATTGAAGATTAACGTGCACGTGCGACTCGAGCGTTTCAGCAGTTATGTAAACAGCCACAGGTGATCCACGGCAACAGTAGACAAATCCAGGAGAAAGAAGATTAACATGGAGACCATATTCAACTTATTCCGTAACACGAATAGGGAGTAGACTATCGCAGCTAGGTGACACGACTCGTTCATTGCAAAATGGTGGATATCACATAACAATATCGTATTTTGCCACTAGATGTTATCGATATGTTTTTTCTCGGTGCGGAATCTCAATCAAGAAATGAATATGTGTAAACTTTAAAGAATGGACTAAAAACAACCGGTTTCATTTAAGAGGCACGTTTTCAGTTTATATGAAAATATTCTCTGTCGGTGTTATTTCTATGATTAGAATAGTGCGTGATCAATTTTAGACACATATTCCTCAAACTGTTTCAGTTATTTAAGACAGTTTGTGTCTAAACCAGTCTTAGACTGTAGCGGAATCAAAGACTGACTGACTGACTGAGTTTGGTTTTACGCCGCTTTTAGCAATATTCCAGCAACATCACGGCGGGGGACACCAGAAATGGGCTTCACACTTTGTACCCATGTGGGGAATCGAACCTGGGTCTTCGGCGTGACGAGCCAACGCTTTAACCATTAGGCTACCCCACCGCCCCCGGAGTCACAGATTGCAATTATGCTGTAATTCCCATATACAGGCATCTTAACATGTGATAGACCAGCGTATGAGTGAGTGGGTTGGGTCATGGTGAGTGAGTATGGTTTTACGCCGCTTTTAGCAATATTCCAGCAATATCACGACGGGGGACACCAGAAATGGGTTTCACACATTGTACCCATCTAGGGAATCGAACCTGGGTCTTCGGCGTGACGAGCAGACGCTTTAACCGCTGGGCTACCCACCGCCCGCGTTGAGTAATAGAGTGAAACAGATCACATAGTGTTTGGGATTTTTTATTTACTGCTGAACCAGCAATGAACCCGATTTGCCAGACAATCCAGTGACTGACCTCATGAGCTTGGTTGACATATGTCATCATATCCCAATTGCACAGATCGATGCTCATGTTGTTGATCACTGGATTGTCTGGTCCAGACTCCAGTATTTGCAGACCGTCGTCATACAGCTAGAATATTGCCGTCTCAACCATGTCAACGTGCTTGGCCATCCGATCCCGTTATAGTGGCCTCTTACGACAAGCATCGGTTGCTGAAGACTAATTCTAACCCGGATCTTCACGGGTAGGTTCGAGGTATAGAATGTCTACAGAAGACCTTCGTGAAGATCCGGGTTAACTGAACTTCAGCAATCCATGCTTATTGTAACGGGCTACTTAATGGTAAGATGGTCAGGTCGCTGTCTTGGTTAATACATGTAATCGTGTCACAGTTGCGTCGATCGATGATTATTATTTGCTGAAGATCAATTCTTACCCGGATCTTCACAGGTATTGTCTCTTCGGACACTGCTGAAGACGAAATATAAACTGCAACCCTACGGCTTGGGGTCACCTCTTTGAATATGGTATCTGGAAGATAAGTGGCATAGAAAAATGACTGGTAATTCGACATTTTGTACGGAGATAGATGTTTGATTTATAGTGAATGTATTCATATGTTCTTCCCAACAGTTACATTAATTTGCCGAAGGTTTGGGAAAATTCCATGAAAATCAAGCATTTTTGCAAACAAATACCTGTCTGATTCGGGAATTTTAACATCATGGCGGACTCCCTGAATCGTCTGTTCGCCAACAGATGTTCACATCACTTCTGCACGTGATGTTCGTGCAGCACGCGTGTCATGACCGAAACCGATATCGTGTTTATTCTAAATGCACGAGCAAGTGGTGGTCGACTTGACACGTGTTCCGTGTGGTTTGAAACAAACATGAATCAAAAAGAAGCGAGTGTTGAAACAGGTGGAAAAGTATTATTTATGCCGATGTGTTTTTGATTGGAAATTAAATATTATATGATTTGTAAATAATCAGCATATGCTTTCAGCAGAACTTCAGGGTAAGAGTTCCTTACGTAGCCCCCAGCTATTTTTTTTCAAAAAATACAGAGTAATGAAAAGTACCTTATAAAATAGGCGGGGGGTACGTAAGGAACTCTTTCAAAGAGCAATATATACCGAAGACATGCACCATTTTACTTTCTCTGTCTGTGTGATTAAATCGTTGGATCGTCAAAATAACCCGGGTTCGATTCCCTTTAGCAAAGTCACCTGACAAATTGCTAAAACATTAAAAACATCACTCACTCACAAGTAAATTTGGTTTAAGGTACCTTGAATAGAATTTCAGATAAATCCTCAGCTGTCAATATTTATAATGTAGGTGGAAAGCCCAAAAAGATTCAATTCACCCCTTTGCTGAAATACGAGCATGGATATTGTGCTTACAAACCAGTAGAAAGATAATCAGAAAGAATCTGGGATTCGAACCCTCGATCTGGAACGCCCAAGGGACGCAACTCTGCACAAAGCGATATGAGCACCTCAACGATTGGGCCACCCGTAAATAGGTTACCAATTAAACACCCATCACTGACACAATGCACACATACAGAGAAGCATCATATATAAAGCATGTGATTTCCCAGCAACATATCTAAATATACCGCAGTGTGTACGCTTAATCAAATATCTACACACAAATATACGTTTTACTAGCGCATACAACTGCACGAATTCAAAAGATCCAAACAAAGTATTGAAGATTCTCTTTTTAAATATAAGTGCCCTCATTCACCCCTAATGATTCACAGTATCGTTCATTTGCACTGAAAAACAGAATCACAACCCGTGCAATTGTGAACATATTTTTTACGATCTCTTCTGTTCGGCCATAGGTTGATATTGTTGTAGCGCACCATAGGTCCTTCGTATACTCCATGCCAAGAGCCCGCAGTGTGGGAAAGAAAGCGTTCATGCGAGATGAAATCGCTACAATTTTCGCGTCATCGGTAGTGTAAGCGTCAATGTGATTAGGCCTGCATCAAATTTTCGCATGGGAAATGCATCGAAAGCGATCACTCTTGTTTTCAAGTCGTATATCAAGTAACACGTTAATTACAGAGAAAGCACTGTACGCAATATTATTGAGGAATGACGTTCTGCGAAGCATGACCGGGCGTGTTCGTTTCTGATCAAATCTTCTCACGGTTATGGCGATTCCGAAGTATCTGGAACACCGCTCCACCCACACGTATACTGTACTACTCACACTTTGCTAAGGATCACAAAAATTCACATCTTTACTTAAACGTAGAATCATAATTTGAAATTGTATCCATTTAATACTATATAAATAGACCGCCTCCGTAGTGTAGTGGTTAGAGCGTCCGCCCGGAGAGCGGAAGGTCGCGGGTTCGATCCCCGACCGCGTTATACCAAAAGACGTTACAATATGGTACTTGTTGGTCCCTGCCTGGCGCTCGGCATTAATGGGTAAAACACGGACTGGTCGGCTCGGAGTCAGTATAATGTGTCCGAGTGGGGGATTCATGCTTCACTGCGGCGTGGTATCTCAGTGGGCTAGCACTAAGCAGCCACACGTACACACGCATGCGCGTCGTCATATGAGGACAACTATTTCTGGTGTCCCCTGCCGTGATATTGCTGGAATATTGCTAAAAGTGGAGTAAAACCCAACCCACTCACTCTACCATTACTACTCACTCATGCGTCGACACAGCTGGCCCAGTCAAGGATTCACTAATTCGCTTAACCGAGTTGCGTCCCTTAGTCAAACAGAAACCTTTGATTGTAGGTTCGAACCCGATTCGCCCATAGTATATTTCTTGGTTTGTCAGCACCAGATCCCTGCTCGTGGTTTTCACCAAAGTGACACAACTGTTCCTCCAACATTAAGCTGACATTCTGATGTTCAAAAGCGAAATTACGTCCAATGAAAATACATTTATTCTGAGTCTAATTCATTGACGAGACGAGTACCAGGGTCCAACTCATTACCCACCCGTCCCGGGTATCTGGGTTACCCGTCCCAGCCCTACATAATAACACACACGTGCATTTCTGGTGTCCCCCGCCGTGATATTGCTAGAATATTGCTATAATCGGCGTAGAACTGAAAACTCACTCACTCACTCACACACACACACACACGTGGTTTCTGAATGTCAGCAGCACACAATAATTGTTTAGGTCTTAGGTGGTCATAACAAAATATTATCTAAGTATAAATAACGCTACGCAAAGCACAGCTTGCTGAAAATAAACTTAAACTGCAGAAATACTACAAAGATGAAAGAGGTATAAGGAATTTCAACATTTTAATGTCCATCGAAGGTCGATTTTAGAATAAATCTCCAGCAGAACAACACTCGTGACTTGTCATGGGCTGGTCGTCCAAGTGTGATATCCCGTTTACAAGACAACCATATTCAGTTGGTGCATCTTCGGGTTGCCACAGCCACATTAACAAGGAGGACCTACTGGATCCGAACCAGCCTGAAACGTTAGCTCAGTTTGACAAATCTTTGGTTGACTTTGAACATCCGTCAGATTGTTTTACGTCAGCATGTGTCCTCAATGGTCGCTGCAGATTCGCCTGCATCAATGCAGATGGTGGTCACCCGACATTAACTTATTCTTAATTGTTACACCATCCTTATTTGTAAGGCTTGTTATTAGAATAAAACATTTTTCAGTATATGAAGATAAATACCTTCGACCAATTTGCCACCTTGTACCTGAGAAAAACGAATCTTGCGACCCGTGCTTAAACCAATGAACTCACACGGGAATCCCATGGAAAGACATTTATGTAGTTACATATTATATTTATCATTTTTCTATTTTTATGACTGAAAGGCTGTTCAGATCCGTTACTCATCGCTGATGTCATGAACGGCGATTTCGGTACAGTTCAACGCCTCCATGCATGGTCACGTTAACTGACTGACTGACTGACTGAGTTTTGGTTTTACGCCGCTTTTAGCAATATTCCAGCAACATCACGGCGGGGGACACCAGAAATGGGCTTCACACATTGTACCCATGTGGGGATTCGAACCCGGGTCTTCGGCGTGACGAGCCAACGCTTTAACCACTAGGCTACCTCACCGCCCCTGGTCACGTTAACAAGGCGTGCGCCCCGAACAGCTGAAGTTTTGTTCCCCTGGCCGCGTCACTTGTTTGTTTGTTTATTGTTTACCGCCGCACTCAGCAATATTCCAGCTGTATGGAGGCGGTCTGTAAATAATCGAGTCTGGACCAGACAATACAGTGATCAACAGCATGAGCATCGATCTACGCTATTGGGATATGATTACATATGTCAACCAGGTAAGTGAGCCTGACCACCCGATTCCGTTAGTCGCCTCTTACGACAAACATGGGTTGCAGTAGACCAATTCAAACCCGGATCTTCACTAGTCCTGACCGGTGAGGTGAGGTGAACTTGGGTTTAACGTCGTGTTTGAGAATATTTCGCTCATATGACGACGTGCATGCGTGTGTATGTGTATGTGCGGCTGCTTATACTAGCCCAGACTGAAGCTGGTTTTATAGTGCTAGCCCACTGAGATACCATGCCGCAGTGAAGCATGAATACCCCACTCAGACACAGTATACTGACTCCGAGCCGACCAGTCCTTGTTGTACCCAGTAATGCAGAGCGCCAGGCAGGGACCAACAAGTACCATATTTTAACGTCTTTTGGTGTGACGCGGTCGGGGATCGAACCCGCGACCTTCCGCTCTCCGGGCGGACGCTCTAACCACTACACAGGAGGCGGCCAGTCCTGACCGCATCATACTAGTATACGTTAGAAGATGGCACTTGATCCCTGCACAGCGTTAAGCGTCTGTGGGGTTTTCACGTTCAAACAGGCCATGGTATCTCAGTGGGATCGGAATATAAAACAGACATAACCCCAGACCAGGTCAAACAGACCCACACACGAGCAAGCCCGTCGCTATATAAATGAAATAATCTTGAACGCAACATTTAACACCACTTCACTTACATTCGTACTTATAATACCGTGAAATCGACGTACCTTCAGAAACGAACACATCCGTTTTCCAAATAGAAAAGAACAGTGTGTGAAAAAGAGATATAAAAGCCTGAAATGTCATAACTTACGACAGAAAAATTGGACAAAATCACACAACAGAAATATGATTTAGCTGCGATAAGCATGCATTTCGTAATAAAAGATCTATTACCACTGATCAAGATAAAGAACACATATCAATAAAATTCCCCAGAAAACCACACACGAAGGACCGATTAGGTTATGCGACTTACAAACCGTTTGTTGTTCTACCCTGATCGAAGTCAGATATTTTGATATTGTACACCTTGTACACAATACAAAGGCAGAGGTCACTAAATACATAATGAGTGAGTTTAGTTTTACGCCGCACTCAGCAATATTCCAGCTATATGGCGGCAGTCTGTAAATAATCGAGTCAGGACCAAACAATGCAGTGGTTAACATCACGAACATCGTCTACCAGTCTGGCATCCGATGACATGTGTCCACTAAGTCAGCAAACCTGACCACCCGATCCCGTTAGTCGCTTCCTACGACAAAGATGTTTACTGAAGATCAATGCTAACCCGGATCTTCACGGTGGGGTGAGGTGAGGTGATATTTCGCTCATATGACGACGTGCATGCGTGTGTATGTGTATGTGCGGCTGCTTGTACGAGCCCAGACTTAAACTGGTTTTATAGTGCTAGCCCACTGAGATACCATGCCGCAGTGAAGCATGAATACCCTACTCAGACACAGTATACTGACTCAGAGCCGACCAGTCCTTGTTGTACCCATTAATGCCGAGCGCCAGGCAAGGACCAACAAGTACCATATTTTAACGTCTTTTGGTGTGGCGCGGTCGGGGATCGAACCCGCGACCTTCCGCTCTCCGGGCGGACGCTCTAACCACTACACCACGGAGGCGGTCTCGGATCTTCACGGGTCCAGTGAATACAAAAAGGGTTGTATAAAGTATCGTACGCCAGCACATTCATTATTTACTCAGTCCCTTTTCCAAATGACCATATCAAGTAAGTTGCATTTTGTTTAACTTTTTTTTACAATAAAATATACACGGTTTCATAATTCAATCTGTTGAAAAATAAACTTAAAACTCATTAAACAAACCGATGCACTAAGCTAAAGTATTCGAATATTTGGTTGGTTTGTTTCATGTTTAACTCTATGGAACCCGTAACCTCTTCAAATCAAGGAGGCAGAATCCCTTGGCATTTTAAAGAGCGACCTCAAAACCTGTCTCTTTAGGACTTTCTATAACTTGTCAGCACCCGTGAAAAAAAAACCCGCCTATGGCTTTTTGCAGTGACTTCCTTTTTTAAGCACCATGAGCAAGCACTCTGTGCCTGGAGTTTGGCGCAATATACGTGCACTCATTATTTCCAAACACTCACAATATTCCAGCCATATAACAGCAGTCTGTAAAGAATGAAATCTGGATCAGACGATCAAGTGATTGACATCACGAGCAACCACTTTTACATGCAATCGGCCAATTCAGCTAGCCTGAACATTAGGTCAAGTTAGTCGTCTCTTAAAACAATTATTTGCTGGCGACCTATATTCTAACCTGGAGTTCACGGGTCCGAATATTTGGTTTATATTTTCAAACTAAAAGTATATTCGCGGATTATGTAGAAGCTTGTCCGACAGATGTGTAGAGTTCACCTTTGTCAAACACTGAATAAATTGTCATGATGTGTATATGTGCTTACCTATATGTACATTTAAATAAAAGATGACCTATCGTCAACCGGGGTTCTCTGTTTGGCCGTTACAACAACGTGGACCTTGTGCAAGCGTGAACAGTCAACTGACCTTCAACGCAGAACAGGAGACGGCAAAGAAGCATCGATCCACGCCAATTTGTGTGCCACAGAAGCGCGCGTTATGACGTCATCAGGTGAGCGAACTTAGTGACCTATTGGACTCCGGCCCAGGAGAATCTTAACATCACTTTGGCCGTCACGTTATCTGTGCTTGTAGTTGTAATGTGAGGGAAGTGCCCTACCACAGTTGTAAGCCTGAAAATATGTCAAGCCAGGTCATGTTTAGGACAGGCCGTAAACAATGGTAGAGCATATAAACTAAATTGGTAGTCAACTTTGTGTAGGTCGTGAATAACTGATTAACGCCACATCACCAATATTCCCTTGTTTCAGACAGTTTGTTATTAATTGCGTATCAACGTCATGTTAGCAATAATCCCGAGTTATTGATGGGTAGTTAATAACTGATTAACGTCACATCACCAATATTCCCTTGTTTCAGAAAGTTAGTTAATAACTGATTAACGTCACATCAGCAATATTCCCTTGTTTCAGAAAGTTAGTTAATAACTGATTAACGTCACATCATCAATATTCCCTTTGTTTAATAACAGAAAGTTCCTTGTTTCAGAAAGTTAATAACTGATTAACGTCACATCATCAATATTCCCTTGTTTCAGAAAGTTAGTTAATAACTGATTAACGTCACATCAGCAATATTCCCTTGTTTCAGAAAGTTAGTTAATAACTGATTAACGTCATATCACCAATATTCCCTTGTTTCAGAAAGTTAGTTAATAACTGATTAACGTCACATCATCAATATTCCCTTGTTTCAGAATGTTAGTTAATAACTGATTAACGTCACATCATCAATATTCCCTTGTTTCAGAAAGTTAGTTAATAACTGATTAACGTCATATCACCAATATTCCCTTGTTTCAGAAAGTTAGTTAATAACTGATTAACGTCACATCACCAATTCTCCCTTGTATCAGAAAGATTGTTAATAACTGATTAACGTCATAACACCATCACCAATATTTCCTGTTTTGAGAAAGGTAATTAATAGCTCATTCACGTCATGTCAGAGTGAGTGAGTGAGTTTAGTTTTACGCCACATCCACCAATATTCCAGCTATATGGCGGCGGTCTGTAAATAATCGAGTCTGGACCAGACAATCCAGTGATCAACCGCATGAACATCGATCTGCGCAATTGGAAACCGATGACATGTGTCAAGCCTGACCACCCGATCCCGTTAGTCGCCCCTTACGACAAGCATGGGTTACTGAAGGTTCATTCTAACCCGGACCTTCACGGGTCCACGTCATGTCAGAAATGGTCCTTAGTTTAAGAATAATAGTTAATAATAAATTAACGTCACAACAGCAATATTCCCCAGTTTGTGTTATTCAGCCACTAGCGGATCAACGTTATCCCAGTGATGTTCTCCATACGGAGTATCGTCACTGGACGTGTGTTAGTAAACTTGGTGAGTGAGTATGGTTTTACGCCGCTTTTAGCAATATTCCAGCAATATCACGGCGGCGGACACCAGAAATGGGCTTCACATTTTGTAACCATATGGGGAATCGAACCCGGGTCTTCGGCGTAACGAGCAGACGCTTTAACCACTAGGCTACCCCACCGCCCCGTTAGTAAAATGTTACCAGTAAACAAACCTGTGCATTATGGATGACGGTAGAGTAAATTTCCAAATTGAAACAATAGCCAACGCAGAAATATGTACGCAAAAGTATTCAGGGTGACACCAACTGACCAAGGAAATGTTATTAATTAACAATTGTTTTGTAAATTTAACTGGGTTTGCAAGTTTCGACAAAGTAATTACTCAATCCAGTGGCAGTATATAATATATCAGCACTGGTAAAGTCAGCGATAACAATATTCACCTTGTATCAAATAACACGTAATAAACAATTAAACTATAGTTACTTAACACACTGTCGGAATTACCCAGAACATACTTTCTCCGATCGATAGTTATCATATGTTCAGGGAACAGCAATGTCTCAGTGAATTAGAACATCATTATACATGTTTTACACTAATCCAAAGATAATATCGCAGTTAAATCTTCACATTGCTGAATGTATTGCTGATATTGTCCAGCAAGATGCCGCATCACAAAGTGAGCGTTGATATCTTGCTTCAAAGGCTGTAGTAGTGTACACCATTTTCATTTCAGACGATTAAAACGTGAACAAGTGATCGTGATATAATTCTGACTGGAAGATTATAACAAAATCCATATGCTTCACTAACCATATCATTCCCAGGTCAAAGCTTACGTAGAAGACGCGTTTCCGATGCATGTTTAGACCGATAAAATATCTTGCTTAAAAGCATGTGGTTTTGTTATGCGCATAGGGGTCGAAATTGCGACAGCTTCGCGCAGGTCATTTTCCTTAGGATAGGTAGTTGAGTCGGGGCAATGAGAAGTTGGGGTACAAGCGGGAAAGTGTCTTTTAGTCGCTTGAAGTCAGGAATTTACCGTGTCTAAGAAGTTGGATACAATTTCAAACAAGGTGTATGGCCGGACTGGGGGCAAATCGTTAGCCGAGAGGATTCATCAGCATATTTTCCTGCTAGCGTATCGCCGGGACACTGCCGAGGAGCGACAGTCAGTCAGTCGTTCGTTATATCGACAATGTCACCGTGTGGGGAAACTTGCTTTTGTCATTGATGTATATCATTAGAATTTCTCGATATAAGACACCGTGATACTGTCTTCAACACCTAAAATGGATCTTACAACGATTTTAGGTGGCAGGCTGTTTGGAGTACTTTTATTCCTGGTGACGTGCAATACGACGACCTCAGCAACAGGTAAGTTGACTATCAATTTGTTTTGTGGAACGGGACTCTCCGACAGGTATTTCTCTGTGTCCGGGGATCTTTTTTAATGTCCTTGAGCCCCGATCATAGGGTTGACGAAACACACGAACCTGGCACAAAACACAAATACACGTCTAGCTGGGTTTCTTTAAACATTACTGTTTGAAAACTTAGCGGCACATCAAAGGAACATACCAGTCGCAGTTGCCATTTAGGTAGATCACCTGATTACAAATGATCAGGCAGGGAATGTCAACTGTTTGGGTATAGTCTTGCCCATAAAACTCTGAAGTTTCCCATCGCAACGCCATACTGCCCACAACTAGCTCAACTTATCAATATATACTTTTCTTGATACTTGGTATCTGACAGGTGACACTGACAACGTTGTTTCGTATTTGACAGCTGGGCTAAGAATCGTTTCGAGAACTTTTAACCCCACCAATTTGCCTAAATCTGCTTCAACTAACCTCTAAACGATAGTAAATGCTTATGTTATCATATACGTGTCTAATCTTTGAGCGTGGGATATACAGGTGAACACACCTTCGCGGTAGAAAAACTAGGCCACATGCAACGCACATCAGATAGAATGCAACTGGTTATATAGCTTACACGGTCGTACGGAACAGGAGAGTGAACATACTTGTCTATTGTCAATGACGGGGCCTATACACCTTGTGCCGTGTGACCTGCTTACTAGGCCAGGCTTATTCCCAACATATAGGGAACATTATTCCTTGCAACACTCAAAGTTGACTGTCGCGTTACAACCTATACATGCGTTGGCTCACAGCTTTAGTTTTCACGTTCTCTCCTATCGCGCTTATGCGTGTGGGTTTATATATCTACCGGGGCTTTACGTCTTAGATCGTGCAATAAGAGGCGATTACATGGGAATATATGGGATAATGATATTTATTCCTTCAGTTACTGATATTTTTTCAAATGATTCAATACTTGTATGTTATGCATATTTTTTTCAACATTTTGATCTGAATTTGACATTGACTCTTAGACCATACTGTGAATTAAAAAGAAACTTTAAAGTTTTTGTTTTGAAACTCTTGTAAGTAATTATTACATACTACATACCTTTTGAAAGAAATGTGAAGACCCAATTCAGTCATATTAGCATAGTTAACTAGTTTAGTGACTATCACTAGTAATATGAAATATTCAGGTGTTCTTGAACTTCCTTTGGATAGCATATTTCAATATAGAATTATTTACAGCTGCCATGTAAGCATATTTCAATATAGAATTATTTACAGCTGCCATGTAAGCATATTTCAATATAGAATTATTTACAGCTGCCATGTAAGCATATTTCAATATAGAGTTATTTACAGCTGCCATGTAAGCATATTTCAATATAGAATTATTTACAGCTGCCATGTAAGCATATTTCAATATAGAGTTATTTACAGCTGCCATGTAAGTATATTTCAATATAGAATTATTTACAGCTGCCATGTAAGCATATTTCAATATAGAATTATTTACAGCTGCCATGTAAACTGTTTTAAACAGAAAATAATATAAATGCAAAAATACAAAGTTTGTTTCTCCATAGAAGGTTTGGAAGGACTTCCGCCCATATCCCCCCAAATGTCATTATAGTAAATAACCTAAATTTATATTCCCCATCTGATAAGGATGAGTTTGAACATGTTTCTTTAATTGTATCTGAACATACTGAAAGACTTCTAAACTGCCACTCAAAGAACTTTTTCCTCATCATTAAAATTTAGGGGGGATACGGCGGAAGTGTTACCGAAGGGTAAGGGTACTTTGCCAAGGGAAGTCTTGCCTAAGTGAGTTTAACATGGTGTCATCTAGTCATCCTGTTGTGTCATTGTGTGGAATGTGTAAGCGTCTTGTTATGTTAATTATCAGGATTCACGCTTGGTTATCTTCATGATAGGCTCAGATATATCGGTTAGGATTTGACCACCTACTCATCTGATGGAAAGGAATTTAAAGGCTGATCAATGATAAACAGAGAACTACTCATGATTGTTTACATGTTGACCTACCAGTGAAATATTTCATGTACCTACTGTTGTGTTGATAGATTTCATTTGTTTAGACCTCAATGCAGGGAAAGAAACCTTTCAAAATGTCCCACGCAGACCACAGGACCAGTGAGTGGACAATAATTAGTGGTCCTGTCTGTACTTCACTGGTCCAAAATAACGTTCGTAGATTTACTTAACTATCAATACAAAATTCACTGGCCACCAGGCCCCGATTTCTCGAAACAAACTTAAGTCTGAGTTTCGACTTAAGTTAGAGTTTTTACTCAAATTTGAGAAAATGCATTTCCCAGAATGAACTAAAATCGATATTAAACTCAAACATAGTAGACAATTTGAGTTTGGTGGATAGATTACTTAAGTTGTGTGGGCTTTTTTATTTAAAAAATGCAGTTGAGTTAAAAATTCATCTGTTTCAAATTGTCCAACTCAGTTTGAAATTTGGGTAAAACTTAAGTTTGTTTCGAGAAATCGGGGCCAGGACTACTGCAAACTTATCATTTAGTGGTACTGATTAATTTTTACTAGCCATTGACCACAGGACCAGCGTAAATTTCACACTCTGCAATACCTTAGATGCCCTATCCTGGTTATACGTTTGATTATCAAAAGAATGTGTTTCCGCTTGTTTGTGGGAAAATGCCACATTCAGTATTATTACATTTTTATGACGACAGTCTTTAACTAATCTGTACCCGACAGTCCAGTGACTGACATCATGAGCATCGATTACACAGATATGATGAATAAATGTGTAAAATAGCATTTGAGTTTATGAATATATGCTTTGAAACTAAGGCCCCCAAAAAAATATGTCCGTTTCCGGTAACCCGACCGACCCTATCCTAACACACACACACACACACACACCCCAAATCTTTTTTAAACCAAGTCAATATCATGACTGGAGTGCATTTCAATTTTCATTTTTATCCAAATCAAGTATAATATTTTTATGTTTTTCAGTGTACATAGGGCTAAAATGGATTGCATTGAATTGGCATAATGGGCTCTCATTGACAAAACCTGCAAATACATAACATAAATAATGATTTGATATAAGAAATCTTTCAATGTTTCATCAGAAGGCATTGTCACTACATGATATTGTACTCTTGAAAACCTTCTCAGGGGCCCACCTGGTGATACTAAAAAAAATTAAAAAATTAAAAAAAAGAAAGATAAAACCGACTCACCTACCCTATTTTTGAAAAGCATGTAATAGGAAACGGACATATATTTTTGGGGCCTAATGTAATAGGAAACGGACATATATTTTTTGGGGCCTAACGAAAGTGCCATTTGGGAGGTAAATACACATGTAACTCTACAGAAATATTCACAGACCCCATCACTTGGGATACATAGATATACCACAAGCTTTTTTTCAGTATAAAAACTCTGTATAGATGAAGGCCTAAAGGTTTTATGTCGTAGTTCAAATATTTAGTGAGTGAGTATGGTTTAAGCCGCTTTCAGCAATATTCAGCAATATCGCAGCTGGGGACACCAGAAATGAGCTTCAAACATTGTACCCATGTGGGGACTAGAACCCTGGTCTTCAGCATGATGAGTGGACGCTTTAACCATTAGGCTACCCCACAAATATTTAGTAGGTGATAGGCGATAAACTAGGCCTGCGATTGATATGTGTGTTGATTTATTATGACTGACGATAAATTCCAGGCCTGGGGGACACCAGAAATGGGCTTAACAACACATTGATATGTGTGTTGATTTATTATGAACATCAATGACAAGGACAGCAGTAAGCTATGTACATGACTGTGGTAGCTTCCTGAACTAGAGCACCGTGGAAATCCACAATCAACCTTGTGTCCTCGCCCATCCCAAGCCATTTAAACACCGTACAATGAGAAGTTGGTTTATAACCTTCGGTGGCTGAATTAGAAGAGAGCTGTGTGGTAACAAGACTCGGTTGTAACTGGGGCACATTTCATATTTAGACTAACTTTTCCATCATATGAAGCCTCTTTAGAAATTTACAAGTTCAATTAAGATCAATTGAAACTGACAACCATGGTCTTCTAACTAAGTGTTTTTTAATGTCAATTTCATATTTTCAAATTCTGCACATTTTTATTTATGTGATTGTCAGTTGTAACCTTGAACCATTGTCATACACATTGCACCCCTTAGCTTAGAATTGGTTGTCAGCAATCCATGCTTGTCATAAGAGGTGACTAACCGGAACTTGGTTGACACATGTCATCATTTCCCAATTGAGGAGATAGATGCTCATGATGTTGATCACTGGATTGTCTGGTCCAGATTCGATTATTTACAGACCGCCACCATATGGTTGGAGTATTGCTGCATGCAGCCTTAAAAAAACAACCAATCACATAAAAGATATAAAACATCTCTGACATATTTTTATAGAGTTGGGTGTTAAATATATGTATATTTCTGTCCCATGTGAGTTCCCTTGAAATTGACGTGTTATTGTCATTGATGATTTATGAGATCACATCACTGTTTATATCAGTTTTTATCTCATAACCCAATATATGTTGTGGATTAATTTGTGGGACAGATATTTGATTGAAAGCTGATACTGATGTACAGCTGTTCAACATTTGATGTGATTGTTTTTCAATGTTGTACATTTCTTCACATTAGCACACAGCTATTCTGTGGGAACATTGTTGCTTGTTAGTTCAACACTGATAGACATTGATTATAATAGTGGAACTGTTTCCTGAGAAACATTGTGATATTGCATATATTCCATCCCAATATTGTATTTGACTGTTGTATAATGAATGGTGTGTTATGTCAGTTAGCAGTTTTGAAGTTGAAGAGGTTGTATATTAGTTGTATATTAAATGGAAATGTCTCCCAAATGTTGTTGATGCATATCTGTATAGCAATACATCATGTGTTTTATATCATTAAAAACCAGATGTTAAGAAAAATCTGCATTGATCT